AATTCGTTATATATAGTTAATGATTGTATGTAATGTTTGATAGAATATAGATAATTTTTTTGCTCGCGATAGCAACGTCCAATATTATGATGCATATTAGCAATAGAGTCTAGGTCATTTAAATCGAACTTTTTTAAAGCAGTTATCAAATATTCTTGTGCAAGATCAAACTCTTTTTTATCCAAAAGAATCATTCCTACATGTCTTAAATCCCAGGATATTTCCCATTCTTAATTACCATTAAAAATACCATCTAAACGAACATTGTTGGCTTCTAATGCATGCTTTAATGCCGGATCAAATTCATTCACAAAATAATATGCTATACTAAGATGTTGTAAAATAGTATATCTTTTCCATTCATCGATCGTTGTTCGTTGTAATAATTTTTCAAAATATTTGATACAACTACGTACATGACCAGTTATCATGCAAAATAGTCCAAATAAAATATCGTGTGAAGACTTCGATCTTTTCCCATTAGCATTCCCTTCACTGTTGCTGAAAAACATCAGAATTATAATTAATTTTTTCATCGCAATAATAACACATTTGAGAAACAAAAGTTGCTTCGCTTCTCTAAAGATTACGCTCTTAATTTAGCTTCGTATCGTTTCAAGTTTAGAATATCTGAATGGCACCTTCATAGAAGTATCTTGTAGTTTTCTGTACGTTCGATACGTTCGATTACACAATAATGGTTAACCCCTTATGCAATTTGGTCAACCAAGGAGTGAAGTACAAGCTAATTGCCAATAATAACGCTCGACTTTTTCTGATGAATTTTGCAGTAGAAAATGAGATAAAGCGTTTATAAATAAACGATTATAAGCAAGTAACTATTTAAAACTATTTCGAATTCTTCAGTGAGAATTAAACATATAACCGTAAATGCTAGTTTTCCTAGAGAATCATTGATCATTTAGTATTAGAGAGGACGCTCATATGAATTTCATAATGATCATAAGCTGTAACCTGGCTTTACTTGGCGTCTTTTATGAAATCTACTGGTTCAAAGTATAATCAAGGGTGTCCCTCGCTCTCTTTCGGAGCTATCGAATATTCCCAAGCATAAACGAAAAATGGCAAAGCCTTCCAGGACTAATTAAACACTCAACTGAGTATCTTTTTGTTTTTGCAGGCTTTGTATTTGTCCTGTTTTTGTATGACAACATCCTGTTTTATCCTGTTTTTTGAAATTTTCCCGTTCTTCTTGTATTCTGACATTTTTCTGCAGTATTACTGTTTACTAGGATGAAATCTGTTAGAAAGTCTCTGTCTCTTACGTGAATCCAATCAGCCAGACAAATACTCTCTCTAGACAAATACTCTTACTTCAGTTTCTTTCAGTCAACCAAGAGAAGAGAAGATTAACATAAATGACGTTTACACTCAGGATCAGAATGTCCTCATAAAGACTGATTGTATAAATTCTGCACACTCATGTCGAAATACTAAACGAAAGAAGTAAAAAGAATGAAAGAGAAAGAAGAAATGAAGAGTAAAGAAAAGTAAAATGAAGTATGATATTGTTGTTAGACATGGGGGGACGGTTCCAATTCCGGCGGAGCTGGTACCGGAACCAGACACAAGAAAACTGGTTCCACAAAAATACAACTTTCGTTGTAGAATCCAAATTTAATGTGAGTTTCAAACTCGTTTTACTGTCCAATTTTTTCTTGCAAGGCCGTAGAAAGCTTCACAATGCAGTACTTTACTAAAAAGCCGCGTTGAACTTTCCGCCAGCAGGGGAAAATTTTTTCATGTTCTATGGCCAAAATTTTCATCAGAACCGAACATATTTCTACGGAACCAAAAAAGGCTGGTTCCACCCATCTCTAGTGGTTGTACGTATAGAAAAAGAGGGAGATGAAAAGAAAACAACAATAATAATACTGGATGGATAAATAAAATGAGATATAAGCTTGATATCTACGATTATCTATGACCATGTTTGAATGCTGTATAAAATTTTTTAAATAACGTCAAGTGAATTTTCAGTTTATGCTTAGCAATACATTATTTAATACATTGTGATAAATCTCACTTGTCCTTTTTCTGCGTTCGCTTATTTCCTGTATGTCTCAAAAAAAATTATTAACTTTCCTGTTTTTCGAAGGAGAAAAATCCTCTCCTGTTTGATATAAGCTTTATTCTGTCAGAATACAAGCGGAAAATATTCCATTATAGTATTCTAAACTAAAACTATCGAAAAACACAAAATCAATTTTGTACGAATAGAGATTCGAACATGT